CCCCCCCCCCCCCCCCCCCCCCCCACGCCTACCCCCCTGTCTCAGCCCACTTCGCGTTTCATGCTGCAGGGCTGCCGTTTGCCGCAGATCCCAGCCCCGCCAGCTGGGAATTCCCGAGCCACGGTAGTAGGCTCTCCAAAGAGCATCCGGAGAATCGGGGAGTGGATTCGGGGGGGGGGGTTAGCTGAAGGAATTGACCCCCCCAGCCCCCGGCAGGTTGGAGTAGGTGACGGGTGGCAGCCAGCTGGATTAGGTGTGCACTCGTTGAGGTCGCACTCAGTCTGAGGAACATCTGGCTGAGAGGCCCGGCTGCGAACACGTACTCTGTGCCCCCCCACCCTGCCCCCTCCATCTTCACCGCTCCACTTATTTTGGGTCATTTGTGAAGATAAACATGTTTTCCTTTGAACAGCTTGCTTGCAGTAGCTCATGTGTCCCCCCCAGATTAATACCTCCATGGAGCAGCATGTAAACAGGGAGAGGTGGTACGGATCGCCCCAGACCCTGGGGGGCCGCCTTCGGCCAACACAGGGAGGCCCCAGCGGGGCCCCGTGAGGGGAGGCGGGGCGTCGGGGGTGTGGAGCCTGCGGTACGTGCTGGATTGCATCCTGGGGAGAAAAACGGTCTATGAAAATTGCACGGTAGATAAAATTATGAGCCGCATGATATATGGTCTATAAAATGTCTTCGTGAGTCGAGAGGGAAGGGGGATCAGCAGTGAAACCCGGACGTGGTGACGCTGGCCCAAAACAAGCCCGTAAAGGAACATGCGGCGCGGATTCAGGGCCTGCTGGGAGACGACACCACTGCTTCTGGGCTGCTGAACTAGTAGCCAAACTGAAGTCGCTCCAGATTTGGTGTGAACATGACGCTCGGAGCCTTCGCAGAGGCTCCCGGTGCCGCCGTTCTCTGCAGCTTTGACTTCCCTTCTGGCAAAATGGTCTCCAGTCACATGCAGCGCTGCTGCTATGGAAAACAGAGCAGGGTGTTATGCTTACGCGCGGAAAAAACGCAGCAGCTCACGCCCTTGAGCACGCAGACTGTGCAGGAGCCCCCTCCACGCCCCACCCCCCCTCCGCCTCTCGCTATTGCTCTCCCCCTTTATCTCAGTTTCCCCTGCCGTGCAGAATCACCCCCCTGCTTTGCTTTTACATGAGCTCCAGCCCCCCTCCCCCCTTGCCCCGTGCCCCCGCTCACCCAGAGAAAACCTACACCCCTCCTGGGACGGCTGGGAAGGGAGGGGGCCCTCGGCAGCACCCCTGCCCTGCGATGACATCAGCATGCCAACTGTATGTGTCACATACCTCCAGCTTTAAGAACTGGCGCCAAAAGGTGGTGGGGGGGGGGGCAATGAAATAGAGCTGTTTTCAGAGTTGGGGGCAATCAGGATGAGGGATATTAACAAAGCGGGCCGGTGAGCGCCTGTCATATCTGGATGGATATGGTCCTATCTCTGCAGCATACATTTCCAATTAGGACTGACTTTAATGGATTCATCTTACTGGGTTGATAGCAGTCCGGTTCCGAGCAGCCGTGCAAATGGCACGAAGATAAGGATACCAGCACCGACGACGATGATGACGTACCAGGGCACAGCCTTCCTGTTCTCTCCATTCGTTCCCCCCTCTTCCGTCGCCATAATCCCCACTTTCTGGCCCTGTGATTCTCAGGATGAGTGCCGCAACTTCGTGAAGGTGCTGTTGAGCCGGCATGGTGGCCTCTTCGTCTGTGGGACGAACGCCTTCAACCCCCTGTGCGCCAATTACACCGTGAGTATCTTTTCCACAGTCGTGAGTACCCACACAGATACACACACACCCACACACACACAGAGATTAAGTATCTATATTGTTGTGGGGACTCTTCATTCTTTTCCATGGGGAAAACTGTAATCTAAACATGATGACCTTAATCCCTACCCAGCGCTAACTTTAACCATAAATAACCAAACAAAATACAAGACTTTAGGCATTTTTAGTTTTTCCATTAGTCGCAGATTTTTTTTTTTTAAATAAAATTTAGTTTCCCCTTGTGGGGACCGAATAAATGGTCCCCACGATGTCAAAATAATAGGTTTTTATCGCATCGTAGGGATATAATATATACACACACACATACACAGGCACAGAATGGTGTTTCCAGAGAGCCACAGAAATTCTCAGCACTCTCCATTCTCCTACGACAGTCCCAGCGATCAGGATACAATGTTTTAGTGCACGGTGCCATCCGGAATACCAATGAGGTGGGTGTAGGTGGTTGAATGTCTTTATTCTATGGAAATGCAGTGCCTTCATTGGCTCTCCATGCCACAGTTGTCTGCAACGGTCCCACGGCCGTTCTCACCAGTAGGGAGCACTGACCCCATCGCAAGGAGGTCATGTTTACGAACAGGGACTGTCGTAACAAGGAAGAGGAGCTCAGAACGAGTGGGGAGCCGCAGCATGCTAATGGCTACGTGAGGCTACGGCTGATTTAGCTGGTTAGCTCGTTTATAGCCTCTGGGCAGAGAGACTGAGATGGCGTGGCGACCCCAAGCTGCGGTCGTCTCTGCTGCAAGAGCGTTCTTCTCCCCAGCCTGGGAGGCCTCGATTTGTGTCTGATTCGACTCAGTTTTGTCTTCGGCTGATTCTGAATCGTAAGTGACCAGCGCCGTAAATCAGCCAAGTAACCCGAAGCCTTCGAGAATTAGGAAATGGCTGCATAAATGTAAATTCCTGGCCTGAACGATTTCTCAGCGCACCAACCGAGTTCCTGTTAGAATATGCCAGTGAAAATATTTTTCGATTACGTTGGCGGGATGCAATCAATTTCTCGAACATCTGAGAGGCGCGTCTGAATGCTTAGCTTGTTATTGATGAAAGCGGAGCTCTGACAGGATCCTTGTGTGCATTGCGAGTCCCCAGAGACACAGGAGCTGAGTGGATTCCTTTACATCTACAGTACGTCTAACACATTGCGGCTAACCCTTAGTTCATCTCGTAGTAGCCTCTGTAAGGGAATCGTCATTACAAGCGTGTGTACGTGTTTACGTTTTGTGTGACTGTGTGGCATGCTTGTGTGACAGGGGGACACCTTGGAGATGGTGGGGGAGACGATCAGCGGGATGGCACGATGTCCCTACGACCCAAAGCACGCCAACGTGGCTCTTTTTGCCGGTAAGTGACACCCACGTGTATCTGTGCTCCATGAGGCATGAAGTACCTTGCTTTCTAAAACCAGTGCTCCTGCTTACTGTACAAAATTTGTGATTGCACCACAGAAAAAAAAGAGCTTTTAGACATTCATTGTTGCATAAACATGAATTCATTGCCACCACTATACGAAAATAGTTTAGCGAGATTCCTGTAGGTGTACTACTTGGAATCCTCAGTAAACCGGAAATCTCGCCAGTTCCTTAGCCTTCGTTATCCCCGTCTCCATCCAACTCTTCCGTGTCCCTGTAGATGGAAGCCTGTTTACAGCCACGGTGACGGACTTCCTGGCCATCGACGCGGTGATATACCGCAGCCTCGGGGAAAGCCCAGCCCTGCGCACAGTCAAACACGACTCCAAGTGGTTCCGGGGTACGTACAGAGGACCGGCTAGAATGACCTCAAATACAGAGCAGAATAGTGATACTTCTTTCAGCCCAGTGAGGGACATTGAGCAGTTCTCACATATCCCATCTTATTCTCCCCTGAGGCACAGAGATATATATACAGGTGAGAGCGATTTGGGGGTCAGAGAGCTATGTCAGCTGGCGGCCTTATGCCCCAGAAGCATCTCAAGGGTGATGACATCACTCTCACATCAACCTTCCGGTCACTAGCACACAGTCCTTAGATCTTATACTTTAAGAACTCTCAATAGGTGGGTTGTGCAAATTTTTCACCCTCCCCCATCAGCAAATATTTCCACCAACAGTTTTAAAAATTTGGATGGTACTTAATGGCCAAGGAATAATATGGGTCCTGAGCCTGAAGTCCGGGGTTCCTCCGAGATGCTTCCACCAATGACGGCTCCTCTTCATCTTCCAGAGCCCTACTTCGTCAGCGCAGTGGACTGGGGGTCACACATCTACTTCTTCTTCAGAGAAATGGCCATGGAATACAACTACCTGGAGAAGGTAGGGAGCCACCAACTGCCTGTCTGCCTCCTGTGTCATGAAGAACTTCAACACCCACACGGCGTTCTGATCCTCCCTTGACTGGGTATTTTCGCCCCGTGTGGGTGCCGGTTGGTGCATCTCTAATTACCAAGAAGATATCCTGCGGTTAAATTAAACACGGAAGACGTTTTTAACGACGTTCAAATGAAGTGAGTCATTGCAAGAGCGGAATGCATCAGGAGATGCAAAAATACGACAGTATGACACGATCTCTTTCCATCCCCCTAAAGCACATTTCATATATCCAGGATATACGGCCGCATGCATATTACTGCCGGTGTCTCTGTGACTCAGAGTAAGCAGACGTTTATTCTGGCATCCCTACACCGAAGGTCACATCGCTCAGCGGCCCCAGCTTTGAGATGCGCTGACATTTTCATGAATTAACAATAACAATTTACTGCTCTGAAATAATGAGTTATGAAACTAGCCTCAGTGGCAGCATTTGCATCCCTGCCGTCCCCCAGGGTATCGGCGAAATTCTCCGAATTCTTTGAAGAATAAGGAGGTTTTGCATTTTTGTGATGGAACTGCTGCTGGCGTGTTTATGGCTCGTGCCTGACTGTGTCCCGGTTCCGGATCCCCAGGTCATGGTGTCTCGAGTGGCCCGGGTTTGCAAGGGGGACCTGGGCGGTTCCCAGCGGGTCCTGGAGAAGCAGTGGACCTCCTTCCTAAAGACTCGCCTCAACTGCTCCATCCCAGGGGACTCGCACTTCTACTTCAACCTGCTGCAGTCCACCAGCCCCGTGCTGCGCATGCAGGGACGGGACGTCATCCTGGCCGTCTTCTCCACTCCGGCCAACAGGTACGGGGCGGAGACAGGGAGGGGAGGAGGGGGTTAGGCGTGAAATATATGTGATTTGGTATCTAAAGGGTGGGGAGTTCTCTCAAGATGATGGGGAAAAGTTAGAGAGGAGGCAGAGAAGCGATGAGGAACTGATGGAGTAAGAGAAAGATCACACAAGAGGAGGTCATGGGAAAAAATGAGACCGGTGAAGCCTAACAAAGCCTTTGACAGCTGACAGCTAGAGGTGAGGGAGAGAGAAAGGTAGGAGAAAGGAGAGAGGACCCGGGGCTCTGTTCAGCAAACAAGTGAGGGCGTGGCACAGATAGGGGAGATCATGGTACGGATGTGAAACAGTGTTTCATGGAGGGGTGAGGACGTGGCATCGACAGGTGTCATGGATAGGAGAGGGTGTGGCCTGGATGGGAGAGGGTGTGGCCTGGATGGGAGAGGGTGTGTCTTGGATGGAAGAGGGTGTGGCCTGGATGGGAGAGGGTGTGGCATGGATGGGAGAGGGTGTGGCTTGGATGGGAGAGGGTGTGGCCTGGATGGGAGAGAGCGTGGCACGGAAAGGATCCTAAAGGCAGAGTTGGGGTGCAATCTGACCAGCAAAACAGTGGCATTTCTGCCAACACTAGCGGCAAATCAAGGCCGAGGGATTCGTGAAGACCAAGTTCGCCCTCCACAAAGAATCAGCGTTCTTATCGACACGCCCTGGGGGCCTGAGGGCCTGAGGCCAGTGGGTCTGCGGCAAGATGGATGCTTTACAGAGGCAGGAGCGGCTGCCTGAAAGCAGCGTGACTGGGGTACGGAAACGCGGCCAGGCGCAATGCCATCTGCACGCTGCTGGGCTTTAATAAGCGGCTGGAGACTATCGCAGGCCATAAACGCGGGAGTGCAGCGCGGTCTGCCGCTTTGGGCTCTAAGTGCCTGCCAGACGAATCGCTCCCCGAAGAGCCCGGGGAATCACACTCCTCTGGGGTGTGCGGCCGGGCCGGGGAATGGATCTTCTGTTCTGCATTCCCATCTTTTGAATATGTTTCTTAAGCGAATAAATGCGGTTCCCCTGGATGCCAGTAGCTGGTAACCCAGTGCTTCCGTATTATTGGCCATAAATTGCTCCAGGTGCTATGTGGCTCTGGAGCTGTGGGGGGGGGGTGTCTTTGATTTAAATCAGCGCTCTGCTTGGCCCACATACCAGTGGGTTTCTGTAAGGTGGGAGGGGGGAGTCTGATAGCACAGCATAAATTCCTGATTGGTCTGGGCCTTTGAGGGGCTGGTGTTGGCTGTGGCGGGGTGGGGGGGGGGGGGGGGGGGGGGGGGGGGGGGGGGGGGGGGGGGGGGGGGGGACTGGGGGCACGGAGGTGAAAGGTGAGACAGGTAACTTACACACCTGCCAATGAATGGAAGGCAAGCAGAAAATGACAGAAAGCAGAGGGCTGTGATGCACTCAGCTCCATTTAACGCCACGCCTAGTGGCCTGTGAGCTCACAGCAGTCCTCCCGGCCTGTGAGCTCACAGCAGTCCTCCCCAGCGGCTACACTGATGCTATCACAACACCACATGCAGTTCTTTTTACATTTCAAACCAATCGATAAATGTATCTATTTTTGTCCGGGAAAAAAAAATACAGATTTGAAACAAACCTGGAAGCCTACATTCCCCCGTAAGCCTTTAGTAACAATATCCAATAACAGAGTAATACAATCCAATATATCAAAAACAGAAGCTGTAAAGGAACTAAACCAAAAAACCATATTGTCAGAAGCACTGCTAATCAAGCACTGTAAAAAGGCTCTTAGTAAGACTGATGGACGTAAATTTGTTATCAGGGTAAATTAAACTCTGAATGGCCATCAATCCGAAACAATGTCAACGAAGCTAATTTCCCTGCATTATTCACATAGAGTTGGAACTTCATCGGCGACGCTGTAAATCTGCAACTCAGACACTCTCGGGTGGTTTTTAAAATCTGCCCACTGCTCCACTGCAGAGGCACTGGTCGGGGCTCAGATTTCTGGAGCGTGTGGCGGCCTGCTCCGCTGCAGCATTGAGATTAAAGAGAGACCTCTCCCTACTTCAAGAATGTGTCTGGCTTCTAATAACGGGGGGAAACCATGGAGGTTGGGAGTGAGGAAAAGACGGTGATGAAGGGCGCTTTGATGTTGGCTGGCGTGCAGATGAAAACGGCCAGCGGAAGGTAGATATCTAAGACTGCATTACTATATTAATCTGCTAAGTATCAGTAATTAAAACTGCAGCTTCAGCACACAATGGTTAATCCACATTTTGTGTACAGCACAAATGCTCAGTCATACCTCAGCTTTGATCTTTCGAACGAAGTATCAATGAGCCTAAAATAGCCTTAGAGAGAAACAGTGATGGTATCATAGTTAAAACGGAACTCATGCCAGGCAACTAGAGAGCAGTTTTTTTTTAATTTCTGTAATAAATCTGAATTTTGCTTTACAACCTCAGAATGGAAGCCAAAAAGCTTTAGATATGAGGGATTCTGAATTTGAGTGCCACTCTAAATTTTGTTAATATGCATCAGTAATGGGCAGCGCACTGGTTCAGTGGGTAGAATTGGTGCTTCACACCTCTGGGGTTGGAAGTGTGTGTGTGTGTGTGTGTGTGTTTGCATGCTCTCCCTGTAATCTTTGGTTTCTCTAGTTTACTCCCCAAGTCCAAACACTTGCCGTCTGGCAAATTGGCTTCTATAAATTTAAACGGTGTTGTGCACATAAGCGCCCTGTGATTGGCTGCTATTCCGTCCCGCTTGTTCTCCATCCTTGTGCTATGTGCTGGCTGGTTTATTCTCCATATTTACCCTGTACCCTGTACTGGATAAGCGGCTGGAAGATGGATGGGAGTATATCAGCCCAAATTAAAGTCTTTGGTTGTCTGTCAAAGTAAGAAACTTTAAATGATTTTGGGAGGTTCAACGTACAGGCACGCGTACTTTAAAAATCTGGCACTGTTAGAGTTGTAACCTACTTTCCTCAAGGCATTTGTTATATTTTTCTGGGGATTGGTCTGTCCGCTCCTTCTCTTATGTAACTCTTTTGCTGAGGGCATTCTGGAACTTTCCGGCTGAAGGTAAAGGCTACAGCATAATGGCGGCACAGACCTTCGAAGCCCTAGATGTAGAACTTCTGACTTTTCCAAGGTTAAGGCTGTCGGTTCATGCGGGCCGCGTAGGGACGTGAGCAGGGACAGGAACGCGGTCCCCGAGACTTGCTGAAACCTGGACACTTGGGGACATAAAGCATGATGCTGGTAGCTTTGAATCAGTCTGGATCCTCCCTGTACATAATATGCGCTAATATGCGTTCAGATACCACGTTTACCATGGGCCCTGTTCCAGAACACTCGGCGGTGCATGCCATGGGTGCGGTCGAGCTGCGGTCGACCCCTTTGAGATTGCTTGTCATTTTCTCTGCGTGCTGTTGATGGCATGTGGGGGACACCTGAGAAGGGGAGGCTGTCGGGGGGGGGCGGATCGAAGCAGCAATCTCGCCTGACCTCGGCATTCGCGCTGACTGATGGGATTTGGCATTTATGGCTTCTTTTAGCATATGACCCACAACCAATCACGTGCAGGCAATTCAGAAAATCAACTAATTACCATAATGCTCGCAAATAGCTATTTAAATCCCCTGCATTGTTCCTTGGACTTGGAAAGCAGCGTCGCCCTAATATTTATGACATCATTTTGCGCTCAATCTCACTGCTGAGGTTACATATGGCTATTTATGCTTTACATTAAATAACTGTTAGCAGATGAGTTTTTGGTCTCTAACTTGCACGGCTCTTCACAGTATCCCCGGTTCGGCAGTCTGCGCCTTCGACATGCAGCAGATGGCAAGAGTGTTCGAGGGGAGATTCAAGGAGCAGAAGTCCCCCGAGTCCATCTGGACTCCGGTTCCGGATGAGCTCGTCCCCAGACCCAGGTAGAGACGCCTCGGCCGTTCACATTATCCCTGACGCTCTTGCCAGCTGGCGAGACACTGTGGCTGACTGGGGTTCCTGTCCTCCGCAGGCCGGGCGGCTGCGCCATGCAGGGCTCCAGGTTCAACTCCTCCAACTCCTTCCCTGACGAGATGCTGAATTTTGTCAAGACTCATCCTCTGATGGATGAAGCTGTTCCTTCACTGGGCCAGAGGCCCTGGATCGTGAGGACCATGGTCAGGTAAGCCAGGCCTCAGCTCCATCCATCCATCCATCCATCCATCAATCAGTCAGTCAGTCTGTCTGTGTCCATCAATCAATCAATCAATCTATCTCTATCTATCTATCTATGTAAAATTATTTCTTTTTTAGTTTTTCTCAGGGACAGCATGGTATTTTTTGCTTTCATTTAGCCCCCCAGTAACCTTGACGATGTGAAGCTTTTTTCGCTGAGGGATCAGCGGGATAATCAGACCTGAATGAATGTTGCTGACAAACTGCAGGCTGCCTGTGAATGTCGGCCTTGGCCAGACTCTCCTCATGCTGCATCCCGCTGTCAGGTACCAGCTGACCAAGATGGCGGTGGACACAGAGGCGGGGCCTCACCGGAACCGCACCGTCCTCTTCCTGGGCTCTAACAAAGGCACCGTCCTCAAATTCCTGGTTGTCCCCAGCCGGGACAATGCAGTGGGCACCAGCAACATCTTTCTGGAGGAGCTGGAGGGGTACAACCCCGAAAAGTGAGTGCCGTGCTCGTTCCCGCCGCCCAGCCAAGGCCCCCCACGCTTGACGGGGTGTCAGCTGTCCAGCATTTACAGATTATAGGGGGCAGTCATTAAGGTCCATTTTAAGAGTGAGGGTCTATCAGCCATTGGCACTTTCGTGTTGCCTGATTCATACCAGGTTTACGGCCGCAGATGGGGTGACCTCCCCCTCCGGCCCCTGATGTTAGCAAGACGCTAAAGCAGATTTACGCTTAAGTCACACGTGTTCTCATTCAGAGCCCTGACAGGCAATGAATGGACGTTGATGAAGATCAAAGGAGTCCAGGCAAAGGCCGGCGATACGAAAGTTGAGAGTAATTTGCTCCTTCCTCGGCTTGGGGAGGAGGCCCTGCACTCCTCCGGTCGCCGTCCTCCTAGCGGGGGCCCTGCTAATCAAGGGGAAATCAGAGGAGCCCTCCATCTTGTTCAGTCTCTGTATTCCTCCATTATGTCGACAGCGTTCTTCACCCTTAATCATATATAGGGACACTGAGAGTCATTTGGGGCTTCATGTTTCTCCCAAAACCCGTAAGCCGGAGATGCTAATGGCCTGCGACTGCTGGCCGCTCCTCTCCTTCATACGGTTGTCCTCCAGCACCGTGACACCTCTGCCCGCGCTCCAGCTGATGAATGACTCACTTCTGCGCTGAGCGATGTCACACAGCCCCAGCTCAGCTATTCTGTCATTATAAGCATTTTACATTTTTTTTTTTTTTTTCCCACGCGCAGCAAGTAAGAGTTGATTTATGAATGAGAAGTTTGCTGTGTCAGCTGCTTCGAGGTGATGTCATTGAGAATCGCAGTGATGTCAGTGTCCTCTGAGTGTCCCCGTTGAACTTCCCATGGGTGTGATTACACTGCACGCCTGAAAAAAAAATCATTTGTTTTCTTCATTTTATTTCTTTCAAAATGCATTACTTCATTATTAAATGCTTATGCTATTTAAAATAAGTGCTAAGTACCATGTGATACGTACAATGTGAATGGCGCCCCCTGCTGGGTCTGTGAGTGCCAGCCCTGACCGCAGGCCCCTGTCCTGCTCCCCCAGGTGCGGCGATGGCGGCCCGCAAGCCCGCCACATGCTCTCGCTCGCCCTGGACCGGCCCAGCCACTCGCTGCTGCTGGCCTTCCCGTCCTGTGTGGTGCGCGTCCCAGTGGCTCGCTGCCAGCTCTACTCCCGTTGCATGAAGTGAGCCTCGATGTCTGGGGTCCCCTCGAACCCTGGCCTTCCACTCCACACTCTGGTCCCACCCCCACCATCATACACCATCACTCATTGCTTTTCAGTTACACTATATGCACTAAACCCTACACCGCACACACTAAACCCACTGAACACTATGCACTAAACCCTACACTCTATGCATTAAACCCTACAATGTATTCACCAAACCTGGAACCCTACACTGCATGCACTAAACTCTACACTGTATGCATTAAACCCTACACTGTACAAAGTAAACCCACTAAACCCTGCATTGTATGCACGGAATCCTATATAAAACCCTACACTGTATGCACTAAACCCTACACTGAACTCACTAAACCCTACACTGTATGCACTAAACCCTACACTGAATTCACGAAACCCTACACTGCACACACTAAACCCTACACTGTATGCACTAAACACTACACTGAGCACACTAAACCCAAGACTTCACTCTACATGCCCTGTACTACACACCCTGTATACACAGCACCCTATGTAGTACACACTATGCCCTACATTCTGCACTCCATACTCGACACAGTGCACAATGTCTGCTAGCCTCTCCTACCCCCATTAGAACCTGTAACCATCACCCTGGGCCCGTGACCTGGCCCGGCATCCTCTGTTGACACACTTGATTGTTGCTGGCTCTAACGCACACGACTGCGTGTCACCTTGGTCTGCGCAGTGCTGACCTGCAAGCTATTCATCAGTGGTCCTCTGTCTGCTTTAAGGAACTGCATCGCCTCGCGAGACCCCTATTGTGGCTGGACTCGAGGCAGCACCTGCTCCTTCCTCAGACCTGGGACAAGGTGAGCATGACCTGAACGAGGGCATATACCCAGAAATAGAGCCAATTCAGCGGGGCTTGTTCCTCAGTACCAGGTGTCACGTGGAATAGTGTGGGTGGACTGGTGAGCTTTCACGATCCGGTGGGCTTATCCCGCATTTCTCTCCATCGACTTACTCTACAGACGTCTTCCGAACAGGTGGACGTGTTTGTTTCCATGTGTGTGTGTGTGTGTGCGTGCACGTGTCTGTCACTGTATCTTTAACCACCTGCCATGGAAACAGTATTGCAGCAGTATTCCAGCAGTATTGCAGCAGTATTCCAGCAGTATTCTTCAGCTGGCAACAGATTGAGTTGGACCCTATTCCCATTAATGAAAGCTGCCTTCTCTGAGGAGCAGCTCCTGATTTAATTACACGTGTAAGTGTGCCAGTGGAGTAGACCACACGGCCGTCCTCAAAGACCACCTTGCATCTTCCCACTTATATAATTATGACCATAATGTTGCTTTATAATTCGATTTGCAGAGAGCGGTCAGCCCCTTAGATTGATTCGGTATCGAGTGATACAGAGATAACCGTTTGAGGACGGATTGCATTTGTGCACCTGAAAATGGTTCCCGCTCTGAATAATGTGGCATAAATCTATATTACGAAGATGGTATTGGGCAGTTTGCGTTGTCTTGAACTGCAAATTTGATTAGATTTACTCTTTTTTCCCCTCTATATACCTGGCATTTGACTCTGGGTGTTTCCCCTCCCTTGAATTTCCTGGGATCTAGGATTTCCCCAACCCTGTCTATTAACAGTACCAGTCAAAAGTCTGGACACACCGGCTTTTAATGCATTTGTCTCTATTTTAGCTGTTATTCACCTTATAATAAAAGACTTGAGGCAATTAAGTAATACACACCAATACCTCCAATTGTTGACTCGCTATTGACGCCGTTTGAGGATAGATTGTCTTGTTTCATCCAGCTTCCAGACGTACCCACCTGGAAGGACTTTCCACAAGTTCTGGGCACCAGTTGGCTGCCTTGTTCTTGCCGTTTAATCAAACTCACCCCAAACCAGCTCCGTAGGGTTCAGGTGGGGGGGATTGTGGGGGCCAGGTCATCTGTCACGACAATCCATGTCTTTCCTTGTTTACAAGATAATACAGCGCTTACATAACCCCGAGGTGAGCTTAAGGTCGGTATCTTGTTGAAAAACAAAGTTGGTACTGTAAGTGGGTGGATGGATGGATGGATGGATGGATGATTTTTGTGTGTAAATTTTCAGCAGTCAACAGCTTTACATCTGGGTGGGTTTCAGTCCCTGTCCCCCTCCCAGCATTTGTGCATGGAGTCTACATCGTCTCCTCATGTTTTCCTGGCCTCCCCTGGCACTCCGCAGGCTCCCCGCTCTCCGTGACTGTGGCAGTTAGGGGAGATGAATGGTTGAGAAGACAAAGCTGTCTGTGTTACAGTAGCCGTTCCTTATGGAAGGAAGGTCTCACTGGCTGGGCCCGAAATCTAATAACAGAGCAAAAATAAATGGGGCCTTTTTCCACTGATGCAAAAAAAAAACTAAAATAAACAGAACTGTATGTTGTGTGTAAGTAAACCTGCCCCCAGTGTCCACAGCCTGCACCCCCCTGTCTTCCTGGCAGGGAAGCACCACGATGCCAGGACTACTGTAATGTGCTCCCCTGTGCCGCTTGTTGCCGGGGGCGACTCTCCCGTCTGACCCGATTAATTGGAGAAAGCATCATTTTAAACCAATTAAAATGCACCCTATCTCTTTAATTGTCGATCTCCGGCTGACCTTAACATGCTGGTTTTGTGTAAGCAGTTATTCAGGACTGTTTGCGCTCCTTTACAGCCGACAACGCTGCTGGTTGTGAGGTCACTGTTGCAGTGGCTAACTGCAGTCCTGCCCCCTCTGTATCAGGAGTCACCCCGGGCAATGAGTGCATTTCCCAAAAGCAGAGATGCTAACCATGTTAGCAACTTACATTGTTGGAACCACGTACAGTAACTGAGTATGTAAGTTGCTAACGGTACCTTTTGGGAAACGTGCTCCCGTTTCGCCGATAGCCGCGATCTGCTCCTGCCGCTTCCAGCTGCCTGCCGCTCACTCTTTGGTTCTCCCCTCCTGCAGACTGCCGTTCGAGCAAGATGTCGAACATGGGAACACGTCCCACCTGGGGGACTGCGACGGTAAGAGCGGCTGGGCTTGCTTTCAGCGCTGACGGTGTTTCCCCTATGAAGCTGCATAACCCGCATCACGCGGAGCACGCTCTTTAAGTACTGTCACGCTCTCCGAGCTGCAGCCGGCGCGCTCACTCATGCCCTGTAGCCGTAAGGCGCACATTAATATACATCGCTGTGCTTACACACACGGGCACGATCCATTGGCCATGCTCTGCCCATTAGCTACTCTGTCGCGTGCAGAGTTAGGGGTTCATCTCCTGATTAAATCTCTCCCCTGTCCTTGGGTCTCCTTGCCATCTGCAAATGAGATAATCTGGCCTTTCTGGGGATGCTCAGATAAATTCATATGTAGCGCAGCAGCCTGATTGACTATGTGAGAGCAACGTTCTTCTTTTATGTACGCTTTATAATTAGTATTCATTTTTAAATAGCTACAAATGTAAAATACATTCTCCCTTTATTTTGCTGCTTTTGTGACTATTGTTTTACTCTCCTTTGCGCAAATCAGGCCGCTTAACAATCCATGCAATTTTTCAGTGAGAGTTATTTAAAAATAGACGCAAATGTGCGACACGATAAGTCAAAATTCGTAAAGTGCTCACAGATTTCGCCTTTCCCTCCATTTTCCACGTGTTTTTCGCCCGTTTCATGCTGAAGGCCTTGCTTGGATCAAGTCAGTGTTTCCATGACCTCACCCAAACGATACGTATGTTATGAAGAACGTAGTTATCTCTTTAGAGTGCCGTTATCACAGCACTGACAGGGTCTTTAATGTGACACTGTGATGCAATCGTCAGGTACAGCAGTCAATAATCTTAGGGCTTAAAATGAAAAAGATCGCTTTTCATCTCTGAGCCTATGAAGAAATGTCCCATGAAACATATTTATGGTGCTGCGATGAAGCTCTTGCTTTCCTTTCATCTGTTTGAGCACATGAAACATCACAGAGAACATGAGCCTCGATGCTCACGGCAGGAAAACGTGTGGTTGGTTTGTTTGTCTCCACATGGGCATGGTAGCCGTTATCAGCTCCCCACAAGAAAGGAGGTAGGCAGACTGTCCTGTGCTTAAAAACAGGGGATGGGATGTTGGGACCTACCCGGTTCAGGCTTAATATTCCACTGGGACAAACTTTTGACAGCTCAGAGGAAGACAGATGGACAGTTGAAATAACTGCCTCCCCTTAGCGGGAGAAAAGTTACTCCTGAATGGTGAGAGGAGAAAAATCGATTTCCATCTCATCTCGGTTCACTCGCGGTCTAATAAATATTGGGTGCAAATCCTAATCCGGCCTGCGGGGGAGCTGTGCCCGAGCTCTGTGCGTGTGACAGATGGAGCGGGAGGACCTCTGCTACCCCTCGCAGCCTCCGGCGCTCCGGTTTCCAGGGGCGAGACCGGGCCGTGACCGACGGCACCGCCCCCTTGTATGAGGGAAGCGGCGCTCCGAGAGGGAGGCTTCCAAGCTCAGAGATCACGCGCAATCTGATGCCTGACATCCGCCTGGGTCAGGGGATCCATCCAGGGTTTGATTCGGCAGAAAAGACATTCTAATTATCGAGGGTGTGTGTCGCGGGGGTAGATAAAGAGAGGGGGGGCACATCCCAAGTAGATCGGAGTGGATGCAGTGACAGGACGTCTTCGATTGAAGTGCCAAGGTGCCGATTAGTCTGGACTGAGCTTTCTTTTCCCGGAAATGATCCCCACGCCCCAAGAAATCTCACTTTTCCCCTCTCGCCCCGGCTGCAGGAAAAAACCGTCCAGGCTGCAGCTGCCGGCACAAAACGTAAGAGTCTGTGATTCTCACAGGCACACGCGTTCCAGAGAATACGGTCGACGCTTGCCGCGTACTCTGACTCCGCCCCGCGACAGCCTGCCCGGCCCGAATCCCGCCTTGCATCCTGTGTTCCCCAGGATAAGCCCCGTGATTGAACAGCACAGATAAGCAGAGTCTGAAAATAGACGGCAGGTTGAATCGATGGCTTGTATGTCATCGGCTATGTTACCGCAGGCTGTATTGCGGTAGCTTGCAGTGGTCAGTGCTGCATGGTAAGCATGATACATGCCGGGAGCGTGTTTGGTACATGCACTAACCGCACCGCAGTCCAACACGTCGTAAATGAAACTGTAAATGAAAACTGATGTACCCTTGAAAATCGGGTCGTAAAAAGCTGATTTGCTCACCAAAAGAACTGAGAACCTTTGCTCTCAGCACTGGAACACGTTTGATTTACATGAAACACAGAGGTCAGACTATTGTCTTAAATCATTATAGGTCTACAGTCGCTTGTAATGTGAAACATTTGCCCTTTTCCTGTGACCTCCCACTGCACAGCCAGTTGCAACACAGTGGGCTGTGTCAAACACTGGCCGCAACAACCAGTATCACCCATTTAATTGGCAGTAAAAAACTCTAGAGTGGGAGGTTAGGGACATTCTATTATCTATAATGATCAAGCGATAAATGCCTCCCGGGCACCACATAGCAGGAAGAGCACATACTGTCTGGAGCACCTTGGAGACACGGAAAACACAGGAGTTTGTTTGGGTAGCGGAAGGAGGCAGCGGTAATCGTGCCTTTGAGAGGGAGAGGCTCATGCTACCATGGATTGGTGTCCGTCCAAGTGAATCGACAGCAAATCACGCCCGGAAAGAACGACGCGCTGGGATTCCGAGGAACTTTCTGTGACTGTATGAGAGACAGGAGCAATAGCTGGCTCTGGGTTTACGTCTACGCTGCTCTGAAAGCGCATGAATATAATGACATACCTTACTGCAGAATTGCTGCAGATGGAAACGATTATGGTGCTGAGAAAACATTTCCAGAAGTAATGCGCTGTTTTGACTAGGGGAACAGGGGGTTGCAATCTCACTTTAATTGAGGTCCACATCACATCAAGGGGAACGTGGAGCGTGAGGTTCAAGAGGTTCTGATGGGCAGGCGGGCGACAGCCGCAGCACGAGGACCCCGAAGCGAGCTAACGGGGACAGGCACGCCTCACGGTCCGCTGCAGTGGGCAATCTCAATTTGCTGACCTTCCGGACATTTCCCCAAAGAGGGAACAAGCGACAATTGAGTCAGTCCGCCGATAGTAGCACAGCGAGAGTTACTCTTGGTGGGAAGTATCATGCCTTCCAGGGAATGAGGTGAGATTTTTGACATCAGATACGGATGGTGGACTCGGCACACAAAGACGTGGGGGCCGTTCATCATTCTAGGCGCTGTGAGTCTCAGATGTTCTGGCCTTGAAGCTGCAGTTATTCTTTCCGTCAATGAAGATTCCCCAAGGGGTGGGATCACCCCCCATTGGTGCCCCTCTCTCCTCACTCAAGTATCCTCTTAGTGAAAAATCCCCGTGTGAGAGCCTTGACCCCCGGCCTGTCCCACCCGTCCCAGAGTAAAAAGCCCCCCCCCCCCCCCGCCCCCAGCAGCACCCATGGAGGGTATCTGGCAGCACATTCTCAGCATTATTGATGCCATGAAGGGCTTCATACTCAAGGCCTTCTCCCGTTTCACCGAGATCCCTGCGTGTCGGGGAGGGCTGCTACGGCGGGTCAAATATCGGATACATTCGGGCGTGAAAACCGACGAGGCAGGCACTCTCCGCAGCTGGGAGGAGTCCAGGAAGGAGCCAAGGAGAATCTCACAGTCTGTCAGAGTGCTGCGGACGGTCCCAGATCCGCCGTTCGACAGAAAATCAACCGAAGGGCGCAAACTCGAAAGCAGGCTTCTTGGGCTTGTGTGCCAAGTGTAAAACACCTGAGTAGCCAGCAAGGCCATTACGAGGGGAACATACCCAGAGAGGGCACTTAAGGAGACGAAGAACAATAGCAAACGAATGACCCATAAGGGACTTGCAACGTTTAAAGACTCGCATCCAAATGCCCGCAATCGGTGAGAGGTAATGTGCCTTGCTCTGTTCTTCCCCAAATCAGTTGGTACCCCCTTGTAATGGCCCTCCCCCAGGACACCCCTGGGTGACACTTTGCAAGTTTTTGCACCCATTAAAAACAATATATCCTGATGAACTTAGACAAGATTTCATTGACCCCCCCCCCGAACACCCACTGAGGGGTCTCCGGGAACTCCGCTTTGGTCCGTTGGGCCGTAATGGTGCAGTCGGAACGTCATCTTGGAATGTTTTCCATAAATCGGAGAGCAGGCGGGAGATGCACTCAATCACCCGACCGCATGTCTGCCCAGGCGGCCTGGATTCTCCCAGCCAAGGCTCAGTAACTTGATTATTCCTGTCGGCTGCCAGAAAAAATGTAAAAGGAGGCGATGCCAAAGCATTAATGAAATGGTGTTAACCAAATACAAATAAGGATGTGTTTTAGCTGGTGGAAAACGTAACATTGTATGCAGAGCAATGACAAATGGAATTTATATTTTTGGCATATGAGAAAGATTAAGTTTAAATTGTGGGTTCAACAGTTATTGAAAGAACAGATGTAACCTCGAGTGGATCGTTACGCTGTAGATGATCTCTTTGAAGGCGTGGCCTGAACCATACCTGCTGAATATTTACAACTTTTAATGGTATGTTTGATATTTGTTTTTCTATAAGGGGTATCAGTTACTAATAATTTCAGGCCACAGTCATAATCAGAGGGTGTGGGGAGTTTCTCTTGAAAAGTTCCATGCTGGAGCACTTTATTCCACACGCGCTCCGCGGGACGCCCTCGGTCCGGCTGTGCCGATAGCCCGATACGCCGGGATCTCGTGGAGGCCGCCACTATCGCCGAGTTCTTAAAACGGCCTCGCTGTCAGCGGCATGCAGGAAACGCAGAGAGAGAAATTGCCACGTGTCTAAATGTTGTGCCCTTAGCTTTCCCAGCGCAAACACGCATCTCTCCTCCTGTAAAGTGTACTGACAGCATGCCGGGATGATATTACCCTTTATTTAAGGGAGTGTTTCTCAGCTCGGTCCTCGGGGACCTCCAGTCCACGCGTTTGCTCCTTCTCGGCCCGCAGTGCACCTGGACCAAACGATCACGAACACCGAGTT